GAGGTACGATCTCTGTTTTTTTTTTCTTTTCATGTTATTAAATTGGAATGATTAAAATTAGATTTTCACCTGTGCGATGCACGGGAATTAGAGAGATGACTGCATGGATGTGGAGTCAGTGACACATCTACTTCTCTAGAAGTACAGGGGAATCCAAAGAATTACTATTTATAAATACTTTAGTATCAAACCGTGTCCTCTCACTCCTATGTCCTCGAAGTTACTGTTTATGCTACAGTCACAGTAATTTACTTTACTGTAGCATAAATAGCAAGTCAAATCTGCTCTTATATACTTAAAGTTACTATTCATACTATATAGTATTTTATTGTATCATAAACAACAAAGCAAATCAAATGTATTTAAAATTGGATTCTTCTTTAAATATAGAGAAATATAGAGGAGTAGATATGATTTCTAAATTAAATGTATTAAAACTTGGGTTCTTCTATTTAAGTATAGAGGAGTAGATATGATTTCTAATTTTAAGCGACTCAAAATTGACTCCATGTAATAAAATACTATAGTATGAATAGTAACTTCAAGTAGCTTACAGTAGATAAGATAAACATGGTACTTTAATGTTTTTAAATTGAAACTTGTGTAAATTTTGAGTCGTTTAAGTGATATGTATTACAATCGCCTAAAGTTTCAACTAAATTACCTGAAGTGTAATACTTTAATGTTCTATTGGAAGATCCTGGGAATAATCCCATGTGAGGGGTCATGTGATACTATGGGACATTATCATCCCTGGTATGTCATTAATTTACAATCAACTACCATTATGTTATATTTTTCTTCTTCTTCCCCAAATTAAACCTAAAGCTAAACTTTTGCATTGTCTCTTCTCAATTCAATACAAGGAAACATGAAGGAAACTCAAGATGTTCAAGCCCAACACCAAGCATGGGAGGAAGGGAAGAGGACGGGGAGGGGGGGTGTTGACATATTAGTATTAGTTAGGGACTTATTTGAAAGTTGTGTAGGGGCCTATATAAAGCCCCATAAGATCTCATAATGAATTAGGGTTTCATATTTTTTATGGTATCAGAGCCTCCATCAAAAACCCGCATAGCAGCCTCTACTCCCTACACCGCGGCTGCCCGCGCCTCTCTCTGTGTCACCTCCACCCTCATGCAAACTCTCCAGAGCGCCCTCCGCTCTTCCTTGGCCCTGTCAATCCGCTGCCCGATTCCCGTGTACTCCGCTGAAACACCGAAACTCCTGCCGTGCCTTCACCCCTGGTCACTGCCAGTCCGATCCCGCCGCCTCCTGCCCTATGCAGAACTCCAGCACGATCGCCCCTCCGCCCACGAACGTGCAGCCTTACTGCCCTGTCCTAAGTGGCGAACACTGAGCCCCCCTTTTCTTGAGCTGCAGACCTCCCGCCCGCCCATCCTGTCCTGCAACGCCCATCTCGTACCCACCCCGCTAGCCCCCACTGCAGATCGAACACAGACTGTAACCCCCCTTCGAAAGCCCTGCAGACCCCTTTCTGGAAACCCCTGTAGACTCCCCGCTTTTCCTGGATCAGCCCCACCCGTGCCCGCAGTGTTTGATATGCGGATCCTCGAGTTTGGCATTGGTTCCCTCGACTCAGTCCTCGAACTGATGACAGGAAGAGTATATATCTCACAGCGATGAGATATATCACTGTTTTTTTATTCTAGTTTCCTCTGAGAAACGAGAATTTGTTGGAGATCTTACTCTTGTTGTGCAACAGAAGTGTTGTCAAAATTTTTACTGCGCACAATAAGGGTTTGAAGAGAAAGGTGAACAGGTGTTGGATCTGAAGCTTGATCGATGGAGGAGATCATCAAGAAGTTGAACCCTGCGGAGGTGTCAACTTTGATGAAGTTGATAAAGTTGTCGGCTGATGAAAGCGCGATAAGACCATCGAAGAAGTTGGAGCTTCCGACTATCGATCTGAAGCTTGATGGACCGAGTACCTACCTGAGTTGGTCACGACGGGTGAGATACACCCTTACAGGAAGGAACCTAGAGGGTTACTTGACCGGAGAGAAGACAGAACCGGATGAGGACTCGGGAGGACGAGATGAGTGGAAGTCCACTCATATGTTGGTGTACATCTGGCTTCTCAACTCGTTGGTCCCGACGATCGCCGCCACAGTGGATGACATTGAGAAGGTGAATGACGTCTGGGAGAAGTTGAGGAGAACATATGATGGGGTGGGGATTAACCTGCGGGTGTTCCAGATTAAAGGAGAGATCGACGCCACAGTCCAGGGAGAGAGGACTGTACAAGAATATGCTACAGAGCTGGAGCGCCTGTGGCTGGACTATGATCATTTTCCCCCCGGGCTAGCTGTAAGGACCCGGGATGTAAAGAGCGGGAGGCCTTTCTACAGGAGAGGACTATGATGTTTCTCAAGGGATTGACATCAGAGTTCGCTCAGCGAATTGCATTACTGCTAGCTCAGCCAAAAATTCTCACGCTTGAGGAGGCTGTCTCTGCTATGATCCAGGAGGAGACTCGCATTCGGCTGCAGGCGGGGACATGTGGACTTCCTGTGGTGAAGTCAGCACTGTGGATCTAGGGGAGAGACCCGACAGTGTTACAACTGTGGTGCGGTGGGTCATCTAAGGCATGCTTGCACCAAACCACCCAAGGAAGGAGATTCGGGTGGACGTGGACAATTCGGAGGTCGTGGTCGTGGCCGTGGGGGTCGACGAGGTGGCAGAGGAGCAGGGAATCGGGCGAATCTGACGGTAGCAGAAGAAGACGAATCTGAGGTGGTCTTTACTGAGGAGGATCGTGCTCTCCTAGCGATACTCAGGAGGAAGCAGCAAGTAGCAGGGGATGGAGACTTGAGGAGTGAGACTGAGGAGGCATCCACTTCGTTCTTCGCCAAAGGCAATACTGCTACTTATGTTCATCCGATCAAAGGTACTGATGACATACATGCTCTTGCTTCTATGTCTCCCAACAGATCATCGGAATGGATAGTCGACTCCGGTGCGTCTCGGCATGTGACAGGTAATGCTAGTGAGTTCTCATCATATACTCACTTAGCATCACCTGATAGTATTCAAACAGCTGATGGTACATTTCAGCCGGTAGTTGGTAAGGATACAGTCGATTGTACTGGTTCTGTAACTTTGTCCAATGTTTTGCATGTTCCTTCATTTCCAGTCAATCTTTTGTCCATTAGTTCTATCATCCTCCAACTAAAATGCATTGTTTCTTTTGATATTCCCAAGGTGATCTTTCAGGAAAAGGGGACAGGACGGAGACTTGGGACTGGCACATGGCGTAGTGGACTGTGGTATCTGGATCGTGAAGGGCTGGATTCAGCATTGGTGTCAGTAGTAGAGGAAGCAGGAGTAGGATCTAATATGAGTACTGAGAATGAGTTAATGCTTCATCACCAGCGGTTGGGACACTCATCATTTGGTGTTTTAAGTAGATTGTATCCTTCTTTATTTGAGAAAGCAAATAAACAGAAACTTGTATGTGATGCATGTGAGTTTGGAACAGAGCGTTTGAAGAATATTTGTCAGCTCAGGGAATACATCACCAGACGACCTGTCCATACACACCAGCTCAGAATGGGGTAGCGAAAAGGAAGAACAGACGTCTTTTAGAGGTTGCTAGAAGCATGATGATCTCTATGAATGTCCCAGAAACATTGTGGGGGCAAGCAGTGTTGATCGCAGCAGCGCTGATCAACAGAATACCCTCGAGAGTGCTGGATTGGAAGTCTCCGTGTGAGACATTGAAGGGAGATAATGGTGGGATTCTTCCACTTAAAGTGTTTGGCTGTGTGTGCTTTGTGAAGGACAACAGGCCATCTGTCAGGAAACTTGCCCCTAGAGCTGTGAAATGCATCTTTGTGGGATATTCTGCTACTCAGAAGGGATATGTTTGCTGGAGCCCAGTGGAGAAAAAGTTGTTTGTGAGCATGGACGTGCACTTCCGAGAACTCGAGCCATATTACACCCGGAAGGTAACGTCATCCGTTGGTAACTCGCCTAATACTGGAAGTATGAGACGAGAGGAGGAGAATGGTGAGAGATTGGTAAATATGGAGAAATCAATGTCTGAGAATGGTGAGAGATCAGAAAAATCAATTTCTGTAACGATTCCTTGGGAAGGAGACTTGGTTGAGGAGGAGCAAGAGAATGAAGAAGAAGAGGAGAATGAGACAAGAGGTGTTAGACCAACGGCTCAGGGAAAACTACTTACCTATAGTAGGAAGGGGAAACAAATTGCGGGAACAGTACCTACAGTGTCACTGGTGCCAAGTCCCTTGCCAACGCCTGTCCCGACTCCTGAGACACCTACATCACCACCAGATTCCTCTCAAGGTGATTTCATTCCTCTTCCTACTCATCCCACACCAATAACTGTACGGAGGACTACTCGCAGTAATGCGGGAAATCCTCCCGATAGATATGGTTGGGATCTTGCTCAGTTTGTATCATATTTTAACATCCACCCTGCACATGAAGCATTCATTGCATCACTGGACTCTGTTACTATACCTAACAATTGGCAGGTTGCAAAGAAGGACCAGAAATGGAAAGTTGCTATGCACGAAGAGCTAAGGGCCCTTGAGAAGAACCACACTTGGGAGTTAGTAAAACTACCAAAAGGAAAGAGAGCAGTTGGATGCAAGTGGGTCTTCACTGTGAAGCAGAATCCAGATGGACAGGTTGAGTGCTACAAAGCTCGTCTGGTGGCGAAATGATATAGTCAGACATATGACATCGACTACGATGAGACTTTTGCACCGGTGACAAAGATGAGCACTGTTCGGACCTTAATCTCACTGGCCGTAAATGGTGGATGGAAGCTACACCAACTAGATGTGAAAAACGCATTTCTTCATGGAGATCTAGTGGAGGAGGTATACATGGAGATACCACCAGGATTTGGTACAGATCAGACAGTGGGAAAGGTCTGCAGATTGAAGAAGTCTCTCTATGGGCTAAAGCAGTCTCCTCGTGCTTGGTTTGACAGATTCAGGAGGGCTATGATAGGTATGGGGTACCAGCAGATCAGCGCCGATCATACCGTGTTCTTCCGAAGAAGTGGAGGTCACATCACCTTGCTTGCAGTATATGTGGATGATATGATTATTACAGGGGATGATGAGAAGGAGATTGCCCAACTCAAAGTGAGACTGGGTAAGGAATTTGAGGTGAAAGATCTTGGCTTGCTTCGATACTTTCTTGGAATAGAGATAGCTCGAGGAGCGGAGGGGATCGTCCTATCCCAGAGAAAGTATGCACTGGATCTTCTCAAAGAAACAGGAATGTTAGGATGCAAACCTGCAACTACACTGATCGACCAGAAATTTAAGCTGGGTGCTGAAGCTGGAGAACCAGTTGATCGTGACAGATACCAAAGGTTGGTAGGCAGGTTGATCTATCTGTATCACACACGTCCCGATATCTCTTTTGCAGTGAGCGTGGTGAGTCGCTACATGCATGATCCAAGGAAGGGTCATATGGACGCAGTGTACCAGATTCTAAGGTATTTGAAGAATGCCCCCGGAAAAGGGCTAATCTTCAGGAAGAATGAACACATGAGCATTGAGGGCTATTGTGATTCTGATTGGGCTAGCTGTGCTGATGACAGGAGGTCCACCTCAGGATATTGCATCTTTATAGGAGGCAACTTAGTCTCGTGGAAGAGCAAGAAGCAGTCGGTGGTGGCGAGATCGACAGCTGAGGCAAAGTATAGAGCTATGGCCTTAGGAATTGCTGAGTTGCTATGGTTGAAGAGTATGCTGGTGGAGCTGAAGCTGGATCAAGGAGCTAAGATGAAGTTGTGGTGTGACAACAAGTCAGCCATCAGTATCGCCAACAACCCAGTACAGCATGATAGAACCAAACACATCGAGATTGATAGGTTCTTCATCAAAGAGAAGTTGGATAGTGGACTACTGGAGCTAAGTCATGTTTCGACTAAGGACCAGGCAGCAGATTGTCTGACTAAAGGACTTAGCTCAGTAGATATGATTAGAGGATGTGACAAGATGGGCTTAGTAGATATCTTTCGCCCATCTTGAGGAGGAGTGTTAACATATTAGTATTAGTTAGGGACTTATTTGAAAGTTGTGTAGGGGCCTATATAAAGCCCCATAAGATCTCATAATGAATTAGGGTTTCATATTCTTTGGGGGGGTTGGGGGGGGGGGCATAGTAATTTTAGAGAAGATGAGAAATTGTCGTGTTTTCTACTATTGTCTAAATTGCAAATAACCCCCTCATTTATACATTCATAGCATTGGGGAGGGTAGTATTTTCGTCTTTATGATGAATATATTATGGCATTAGCATTTTTTAACGGAAAATATACTATAAGCCATTTAAGTGCAATGTTTTACAAGTAGGCTCATTTAAGTGAAACAATTGGAAACAAAGGGTTATTTTATTGCAATTAACCCTTAAATTTTTAAATGAATGTATATGCATTCATATGCTCACTCTCATATACACATGCCAATCCAAAAAAACATTGTGATTGTTGTCATGCCCTAAGTCCTGCTTTAAAAGAATAATCATTTCCCTCTTGTGTTGCGTCCGTATACTGTGTCGTATTGGTGTTTTTAGGTTGCAGAGATGCCATTTTCAAGAGCATTAGGCATCTATGCTGCTGATGTATGTTATTTTCATTCATGTGATAATCATTACTCTGCTCTGCTTATGGTAGTTTTTTGCAATCTTTTTCTGTATGTATATTAATTTCCAGTATTTTATTTCCATGAAGGAAAATTGCTGATAAAGTTGCAGCAGCTGGGTTCTTTGCTGTAGTTCCAGATTTCTTATATGGGGATCCTTATGTACCTGATAATGCTGAGAGGCCTCTTCCAGTCTGGATTCAGTCTCATAAAACAGTTAATTTCTTCAATTTCTTCTTATGTCTTCCTGCATTCACAAAATGATTAAAATATCTCTTGTTTCTATTTTTTTCTCCTTAACATTCGTCTGTAATTAAAATATTTAATATGACATTCTTCATCATGCCACTGGGTTTAAAAAAATGAACCAAGTGGCTTCACAGTCCAGAATACTTATATGTTGTATCTCCAATATATTTAGGAGGCATTGCAAAATTTTTTAAGTATCCATATGACATAGAAGTGGAAAATTATAAGTGAAACAATGTGCATGGTACGACACATTCAAGCATAAAGTTAAAGAATTATGCTTAAACTATCCTATTATTCTCTCTCTCTCTTTCTCTCTCTCTCTCTCTCTCTCTCTATATATATATATATATATATATATATATATAGAGAGAGAGAGAGAGAGAGAGAGAGATACTTGGTACCAAGCACACATTTGGTGCTTGGTAGTGAGGTGACACATTCTCATCCACTCCTAATTATTCAACCCATGGGCACCCATGAGAATAAGTGAGTGGTGAGTGGATGGGAATGATCATACCCATGTGTATGAGGTGGCGACTCATTTTGCTAAATGGACTATCAAGAGAGAGCCATGTGGTGAGGCCTACCTTGCTAGTCACATTAAAAGGTGTGGAGCTCACCACTCTATCTCTTGGTAGCTCATTTTGCAAAATGAGCCGCCGTCTCGCATCCATCATTCCCTATACATACATACATACATACATACATTATATCGCTTAAGAGTGAACTTTTATATCGACCCATGTGTTCTGCTGCCTTGTAGGATAAAGCTTATGAAGATGCAAAATCAGTGATTTCAGCTCTACGGAGTAAAGGCATAACTGCTATGGGGGCTGCTGGATATTGCTGGGGTGGTAAGCTGTAGTTTGAATAATTTTGTATTCTTTCTTTTCTGGGAGAAATAGCCTTAGCTCAAAACATCGTTGATTCAATCAAACTTTCTATTAGATATGTTGTATTAAGCTTCTAGCATGATATATCTTTAAACACTTTTGTGTATTTGCATCTGTGTTTTTGAGCATATTCATTTTATGCCTTAATGTTCTCGACCATAATCTTTTCCCTTGTGTAGATTAGTCTGTCATTGTAATCAAATCATCATAATGAGGTTGATTATACCACAGAACCCTTGAGATGAAAAGGTTGCATTGGTGGAGTAACCTTTTCCTTATACTACCATCATTATTCAAGCCATAAATTAATTTTGCTCAATCCTTCCTGGTTCATGTCAAATTTGTGGCCAAGCATCTGGAGGAAAGAGAGGATGGATCATCCCTCCAAACTCTTTTTTCCTAAGAAAGACCTAGATGAAAAAGAAGAAGAAATTAAGGAAATGGACTGCACTTTTTGCTTGTCTAGTAACTAATCAAGCTAGGAAACCAATATGAAAAAACATCCCTGTCTTAAATAACTACTAATATAGTTAGCTTTAAAATCATTTTGCTATGACTATTTTCTTGACTAACGTAATGGAGGAAATGACCCACAACATAATGGAATGGAATGGAAAAATAGGATTCATGTAACCGACCCCAAACATTTGGGATAAAGGCTTGGTTGTTGTTGCTGCTGTTGTATGACTATTTTCTTATCTACAGCTCGATTTTTTACATATTTTTCAGCAAAAGTGGTCGTAGAGTTGGCAAAGACTCCTGATATCCAAGCGGGAGTGATGCTTCATCCTTCATTTGTAACTGTGGATGATATCAAAGGTGTGTTGTGCATTTTATTTCTGATCCTATCAAAGATCCACACCGATGATTCTATCTTAATCAGATTTATTGCTAGAAAAAGATTATTATATCAAGATGTATTGGGTAGAATATTATCTTTTAGTTTATGGGGTATAACTAATGCTCTTTGTTGTATTCAGATGTTAAATGTCCTATGGCTGTTCTTGGAGCTGAACGTGACCATGTCTCTCCTCCTGAACTGGTGAAACAGTTTGAAGAGATTTTAGCTGCAAAATCGGAGGTAAATCATGTTCCAACCATTGAAATTTTAGTCTGACTTGTTATACAATCATTAGGAAGCTGTTTTCTTGATTTTTCTGTTTGTATGATCTTGTTCATTATTTATATGAACTAGGGTTGCATTATATCCTACAAAAAATTTGTCCTATACACTACAGTACGACTTTTACATACCCTTCAAGTGAGGAATGGAGAACACTTAATGTAACAAATTTTATTGTTCTATCGACTTATTTCCATTTTCTATAGTACTACCTTTCAGAATTTTGTTGTTTCCTTCTCTAAGTTTGTACCGTGCCATGTCGACTAGACTTATTACCACACTAGGTCTCCCAGTTATCATCATCTGAGTTGTTTCTTATCAAAATCGGGCAATCGTGGAAAATAAAGATTGTAAAGACGTCTATATATTCCAAACTTTTGTGGCTCCGATCTTAGGAGAAAAAGATTCTTGGTTGGTTCATGTATATCAATTTTTTTTCTGTTCTTTGTTTATTTTCCCTCAAGGTATGGAAGATAGTTAAAGAAGCAACCGATTCATGCCTTGATATTTTCCATTCACTAAAACTTGAAGCGTTCTGGGTGGTAATAACAGGAAAATTGTGAGAAAGGGTGACTAGCTTCATTTTAGCATGTCGTAAGTGAATCATGTAAATGATTTTTCACGCAGTATCGTCCATCTTTTGTTGCTGACAGGTTGATAGTTTTGTGAAGATATTTCCCAGAGTGGCCCATGGGTGGTCTGTTAGGTACAAAGAAGACGACGAGTTCGCTGCGAAGAGCGCTGAGGAAGCCCTTGAGAACATGCTGGGTTGGTTTGTCAAGTGCCTGAAATGCAGCAAATTTTAACCGAGTAATGCGCACGTGATGTATAGGCGACTCATGTCTTTAGAACTGTTTCCAGGTTCCCGCAGCATGCGTGTTTCCTAGACGCGCATGTATGTATGTATGTATATTGCTATGCTTTAAAGGTAAACCCTAAAGACAAGTAGTGGTCGTGTGTTACGTTGAGAGCCATGGATAAGCAAATTTGATAGAAACTATGGGGTCTGAATTCAATTGGTTGAAACATTGGAATCTTTTTTTAATACTTTAATTCGATAAAGGGGTGTTATCTAATTAATGAGTCCGCAACCTGTGAAGATCCTAGCTTTGGTGGCATAACATAACCCATGAGCTACTTAGTATTTCTCATGGAGACCGAAGCTTTTAAGGTTTGTTGTTTTTTAATGGGGGGGGTCACAAGAAATCCTTTTCTCTATGTTCTTTTTCTCAGGTCCTCTCATCTGTAACTTTTAATGTGTCTTTTAATCTCGTAACAAAGTTTTGCTTTTGGAAATCGTCTGAGGGACGTGTGGAAAAAAAAAGTCTGCACTAAAAATCCATGGATTTTAAGAATTTAAAGGAACCAATTGAGATTTTTTTTTATCAAAGTAAATTTAAAAAGAAATCTATTCTCTTTATCCACGATCTACAATTGGGCTTCAGAACCAAATTCAAGAACAAGACTAATGATCTTCACTAATGATCATAGATAGGTAAAGGTTTTTTTTGGTTAAGTATTTCTTAAGGAATTTCTTGAAGAATAAAATATAGATGAAAATTTTCTTAAATCTTTATAGAGACCTTGTATCACCAAAGGGGAGAATAAAAACGAAAAGAAAAGGATAGGGGGGCACAATTACGGGGACATTTTTTTTCTGCGAAAATTGTTGTTCATACTTTTAGGGGGATTTTTGATAAAACCAGAAAGTTTGGGGTGGGGATGGGGCGTCGTTGGGGGTTCAAACAATTCCTAAACCTAAGGGTGGTTTTCTAGTATCATGAAACTTATGGAGAGTTATATGGTAATCGTTCATAGTTAAAAGGGGGACAAATTTTCAATTCGACCTATTTGTAAACTTAATTGTAAAAATCGACCCATTTTATACTTATTTTTTAAATTCGACCCAGTTCTAGCCACCTAGCTGAAACTAGGTCGAATTTGAAAAAAAAACTTACAAACTTCATGGGACTTCAAGTCCCGTGAAGTTTTATTATGTAACAAAACTTCACGGGACTTGAAGTCCCGTAAAGTTTGTAATTTTTTTTTCAAATTCGACCCAGCTTCAGCCAGGTAGCTGAAACTGGGTCGAATTTGAAAAATAAGTATAAAAAAGATCGATTCGTGCAATAAATGTTCTAAATAGGTCGAAATTGAAAATTTGTCCTAGAGGGGGCTTTCTGATATTTAGCCAGAGTAAAAGATCCGAACGCTAGCAGGTTTCGACCTCGACCCAGATCACGGGCACCAAAAAGCCCCAACGGCCCAACCCAACCCGGTGTAAATCCTCAAAACTCAGAAACCAGGGAGAGGGAGGGAGGAGGAAGGTGGGGAACAAAAGAACGCCGAAAACCAACCGATCGAAAACTCCTCCGCTCTCGACAATGCTTCAGATCAGGCTGAGCAAAGGCGGCGGAGCTTCCTCCGGCGACGGCGTCGCAACCCCCGGCATCAAATCCTCGTCGGC